AAAAAAAAAAAACAAAAAATTTTTTTTATGTATATAAATACATGAAATCTATACTTTGGCAGAAGAGGATAGACTGGAGAGATGAAACTCGTTTAGGCTAAAGGCAGTATCCTAATTAAAAGGTGAGATTAAAGGTAATATGGGTGTGAACAACACATAGTTACTTGATATCAAGTATAGATGATAATTTCATATAATTTCAAACTTTAAAAATCATTAGTAAAAATCTTTTTATTCTTAATGTTCCTAATGTGAAACTAAACATGTCTGAACCCCAAATACTTTTTGATAGAAAGATTTCAAGTTTAATAAAATGTGAAGGCACAACTATCACTGAATATTTAGAATTATGAACTTCTAAAATTGGGTATACGAAGAATAACATAAAAATTAGGGGACTAGTGATATTAACTAGAAAATTAAATTTTAACATATACAACATAACAATAGACTTTTTTCTTTAGACTTGATACCTTAGGCATTATCTAGTCAAACTCTTTCAATTTGCAGGTAAGAAAACCAAAATACAAAGGGGGCATGTTACTTGCCAAATATGCTTGGGTAATTCGTTTAGGATTAGAGCCCAACTTTCCTGACTCCTTAATTTAATGATTTTTCTCACTTTCATAGGGAGATCTGGAATTAGTTCTCCTAGCAAAAGAGGAGGGGGGAAAAGTGAAGAAAGCTCTTATCTAGTAAGTACTCGGGACCATGTTATCAGTGCTTTACATTCAGACCTCATCTGTGAGATCTCCCATCTACTCTATGAGGCAGTTATCACTCATATTATAGACAGGGCACAGACAGCTCCAGCTTGCTAAAAGCCACATGACACCAAAGCTCATCTCTTTTTATCACAGCACACTAATGCCAACAAGAAGGTAACTTAAAATAATTTTCTTCCAATGTTTTAAAAAATAACCAGGTTTGTATTAATAAATTCAGAAACCATTGAACACTGACCTGTAACATGCACCTGGACACAACAACTTCAGGTACTTCAGGGAATTTTTGTCGCAGGTCATGTAAAACCTGAAAATCAATTTGGTGGCTTCCTTGGGCCATTCGTATATTGCCTGATCAGGACTACTTGTACAGTAGGCAATTCTAGGCCTTAGTGGAAATAGTACTCATCTCTTCTGTCCAAGCATTTTCTGTGAAAGAAAGAAAAACAATTTTAATGAGAACTGAGTATAGAATGAATATTGATGTAGATTTAAAATTTTAGTACAGAAGGGTGTGTGCTTTGGCACTTAACATGTAATATAAACTATAAAACTAAATATTATTTAGACCTAAAATGCTTTCCAAGTATTTGGAAACGCCCCATACTAGATGTTCTGATTTAACTGGCTGGGGAGCCAGTGGCCTAAGCATGTGGAGTTTTAGGTTCCCCAGGTGATTTTAATGTATGGCCAAAGATGAAAATTACTTAACTTTATTTTTATTCTTAATGTTCCTAATGTAAGCCATGTTTAATCCTGAAAATCAATTTGGGATATAAATAGGATATAAGTATATTAAGCCTACACAAAGTATTAAAATATCTTAAATCATACCATTTAATTAATTAAAATATACTTCATTTTAGGACAAATTTAACAGAAAGACAATTATCTTTAAAACTGATTTAAAATTATCTTTAAAACTGATTTCTTGTTTGTAGTATTTCTCTTTTAACCTCATTAACATAAACTTAAATACAAATCTGTAAATTCCACCAATTGAGGAATTAGGTGCCTTTTATAATTGTGTATCTAGCACTTTGTAAAGTCTTCAACATAATAGTTATTAAAATAGTTTTGAATAGATTTAGCTATGACTACTCAATAAAATAAATCCTCACTTAGTAGTAATAAGCCTTTTATCATTTTACCATAACTTGATTGAATTTTACTTAACTCTTCTGCTATTTACATTTCATAGCTGAAGTCTCAGCCAAACTCAGTTACTTGCACTATAGATTTCCCAAAAGTATGTTAAACACAGACACATTTGACAAGAGTCTCACTCTGTTGCCTAGGGCTCATGGTAACCTCACTCATGGGCTTGAGAGATCCTCTTGCCTCAGCCTCCAGAGTAGCTGGGACTGTAGAAGCCCACCACCACACCACCACGGCTAGTTTTTCTATTTTTAGTATGGGGAGGAAGTATCACACTTTGCTCAGACTGGTCTCTAACTCCTGGGCTCAGGCAATGCAGCCACCTCCACCTCCCAGAGTGCTAGGATTATAGGCATGAACCACCATGCCCAGCCAGTAAATATTTTAAAATAATTTTAAGAGGGGACAAAATGCTACAGAACTCATCTTGAGAAAGCCTTTCTTGACTACTCTCCAATTATTAGCCCATTTCTCTGCTTTTCTCCCATTTTGAGCTAAAACTTCCAGAAAGGGTTGTTTATACCTAAGTGTCTTGTCCAACCCTCTTGGCCAAGTCACCTAGACTCCACCTGCAAAAGTCTCCTAACTGGTTTCCTCCTGCCTTCATTCTTTGCTCCAATACCCCACTCCCCACCACACCTCCAGTCTTTTGAACTCAGCGATCTTCATGAAAAGTAAATCAGTCCTAACTCCCCCTTGCTCAAAATACAACATGGCAAGGCTACTAGCTATCTGCCACTCCTGCAACTTCATCTCCTCTCACTCCCCTTCTTCTCTCAATTACAACTGTGCTTCTGCTACTTTCTCAAAGAAGCCACTCTGTTCTCCCCTTAAGCTTACTGGACTTACTGCTCCCTTTGCTTGGAACGGTTTTCCCTCAGATACATGCCTGCCTCCTTCTCTTATTTCATGAACATCTTCCATCAACTGCCATTTCTTCAGAGACAGCTTCCCTGACCAATCTAAGATAATGCCACCCTCTCCTTCCTCCCCTCACAGCCAGACACTGCTTTTTCTTCACAGCATTTATCAATCCCTGAGACATATTTATTCATTATCTCTCTATTCCAAAAATGTTAGTTCCACAAGTCATGGACTTTTTTTTTTTTTTTTTTTGAGACAGGAGCCTCAAGCTGTCCCCCTGGGTAGAGTGCCATGGCATTTCAGCTCACAGCAGTCTCCAACTCCTGGGCTCAAGCGAGTCTTCTGCCTCTGCCTCCCAAGTAGCTGGGACCACAGGCGCCCGCCACAACGCCCAGCTATTTTTTGGTTGCAGCCATCATTGTTGTTTGGCGGGCCTGGCTAGATTTGAACCCGCCACCTTAGGTGTATGTGGCTGGCGCCTTAGCCACTTGAGCCACAGGTGCCCAGCCACAAGTCATGGACTTTGAAGCCCATGGCTCTATCCTACGATCAGGAATGATGAGAATCTAGATCATTCCTGATTCACAGAACATGTGACATTTGTTTGATAAAATCAAAGTTTTACTATAAGGTTTCTTTCTTCTTCTTCTTCTTTTTTTTTTTTTTTTTTGAGATAGAGAGTCTCAAGCTGTCACCCCCGGTAGAATGCCGCAGCATCACAGATCACAGCAATCTCAAACTCTTGCGCTTAAGCAATACTCTTGCCTCAGCCTCCCAAGTAGCTGGGACTATAGGTGCCCCCCACAACATCTGGCTATTTTTTTTTTTCTTTGCCTTTGTTGTTTTAGCAGGTCTGGGCAGGGTTCAAACCCGCCAGCCTCAGTGTATGTGCCCTACCCAATGAGCTACAGGTGCCACCTACTATAAGGTTTCAAAACATATTTCAAATGATCTAGATTCAGAAATAAATAGAAAATTTGCAGGAGCAACAAAGGAATAGTCTAGCTGAATAATATCTTTATTATTTAAAGGAGATGAATCATGAAAACAAATTTCAACTCATTCCATTATTACAACATATACTAACTCTCTTACCACACTTGCTTGGATTTCTAGTAAAGATCAAGTACATAAATGAGACATTCTTAAAATGTCCAATTTTATTTCATGGATTCTACTTCCTGTAATGGCTGGGTAGCTCCTACTGGAACACCAACTCTTTTACAAATAACAACTATAAACACTGGAAAAGCACCAAAAACTACCCAAAGGCAGAAACAAATGAGAGGAGGGTACAAAGGAGTCAGCACTGGGAAGAAGGAAACAAGTAGGGTGACTTTTTATTTTTTAATGGCTTTCACCCAGAGAGCAGGCCCCAGTTAGTTCAGGTAGCTAAAACCCAGATAGAAAATCTGCATTTATATAGGCTTGATGAACCAAAGGACACACTTTTGCATGACCACAATAGCTGAAAACTTACTGAGTAAATCATGGGAAGGAAAGAACCACAAAAAGGAAGCCACAAACTGTATATATCTCTGATCTCCAAACTACACATATGTGAGACAGATTCCAAGCAGCCAAAACTAAGGTTAAAATAAAACTGAACTAAGAATTCAGTTTGTACTTTGAGTTTAGTTATCTGTCCACTAAAACAAACAAACCAAACATCAATATTCACTGGAGGAACACAATAGAATCCAAAGTCTCTACCAAGAGTCTCTACATTTGTTTCTACAAAGTCTCTACCAAGAGTCTCTACATTTGTTTCACAATGTCCTGAATATAATAAAAAATCACTACATACAAGACACAGGAAAAACTGACCCATACCCAAGAGAAAAGGCAACCAATGGAGACTAAGCCCAAGATGATCCAGCTGTTAGAACTGGCATCCATCTTAGAGCATAGTTAAAATAACTGCTAGTATTTTAAAGCAGTTATTTTAACTATGCTCAAAGATTTCAGAGCAAATATGCTTGGACCCCTAAGCAAAGAAAAAGAAATTATTTAAAAAAAAAAAGGAAATATATTTGAAATAAACAAATGCACTGGATGGACTTAACTGCAGAGTGGAAATGACAGCAGAAGTCAGTGAACTTGAAGACAAAGCAAAAGAAATTATCCAGTCTGAAGGACAAGAGAAAAATGATTGGGGGGCAAGGAAAGAACAGATCGTCATGGGCCTGGGACAAAGCAGCAAGAGCAGAGACATACCTGTAAGTGGGGATCCAGAAGGAGTGGAAGAAAAAATGAAGCAGAAAAAAATATTTGAAGAAACAGTGGCTAAAAATTTTCCAAGTTAGTAAAAGATCAACATTTATAGATTTAAGAAGATGAGCAAACTGTACATAGGAAAACCAAAGACGACCACACATAGGCACAACATAGTCAAACTGCTGGAAACTAAAGAAAAAGAAAATCCTGCAAACAGCCAAAGAAATGGCACATTATACACCAACAATGACAATAATTAGTGAACTGCTGACTTCTCATCAGAAACAATGGAGGCCAGAAGACAGTGAAATGACATAATCTAAGTGCTGAAGGGTAATTAAAAAAATCAAACTGTCAACCCCTATTCTATATTTAACAAAAGTTAACTTTAAGAATGAAGGCAAGAGAACTATTTTAACTGCCTTTGTGGAGCAGTAAATAATTTGTAAGGACAACCCAAATACACTACTGGAACAAACAAACTGGTATTTACTTAATTTCAAAATGAAAATCAATAAATACATTATAAATTTATTCTGGAAAATTATTTCTCATAACAAATTGAGACATATTTTCTATGGTTAGATGCAAAATAACCACTCTCCTGTGAAAGAGAAAAAAGAACAGTTTATAAAATGTTTTTAGCATTTGGTGCAAAATTTTGGCATTTAAACTTCTGCCAGGTAAAATGATCTACAAGGACTAATTCCTTAAGGATTCTAAACAGTAGCAGAGTCTACACAACACAGAATGTAACAGTAAAAATATTGCACAGCTTTATAAAATGTGCTATGTTCTTTCCTTCCTTAAAGGGCATGTAAACAATTGGTTTTTGACTTCTCGATAATCACAATGACCGTGAAGAGCATTAAGCACAGGGTCAGTGGTTCACACTGCAAGCCACACTTCATATTCAGCATGGTTTATCATGGTGGCTGTGTCAAGGATTGTAAGAATATACAAAGCCAACTGTTTAGCACAAGAAGAAACTACAGTTTCCAGATTAAAAAATAAAAAAAGCAACTGGATTTTTAGGTCTGATGAGAATTTGGACATTTATGAGTTAACTACATAAGACTATTTCAGACTAGAACTCTCTTCACCTATTTATCAACCACCTACCCATCTACCTCCCCCCTGCCTCCCCAGTTTTGAAGAGGAAAAATACAAACAAACCTGTATCTAGCACT